ATTGTCAAGTCACATGATTGCGTCATATGCATTTAATTGCGCCAAAATTGTATAATTGCGTCATAATTGCGTCATGCATCACATTAATTGCGCCATTGTAAAAATTTTAAATAATTGCGTCACCAGTAAATCAATTTCTACCACATGTATAGTTTATACTATCTCTAAGTAGCTTGTTAATTTTTTCCTCCTTAAGTGTGTAGCTAGTCTTGAACCCTCGTATGGTTAAACCATAAGAACTATTTTCAGGTGAATAATCATTAATTATAATTAACCATTTTTTATTGGATACAAACTAGTAATTTCCCAGTTTGTTTTCTGCAGATCTAATCAGATTCTTGATATATTGGTTATTGAGATCATTGCCATTCATATAAAACACATATATAAACCCCTTGTTGTTGTTATTATTATTGTTGTTGTTGATTGCAGTTGTTGATGTTTTATCTCTATCCCTATATATCACATGTTTGAGCCCTTTGTTGTTGTTGTTATTGTTATTACTCTTGATGGTAGAGGTTGTCACTTCACCAGAAATAATGGCCTTCTGTACTAAAGATAGGTCCCTAAAGTATTTAGCATATAAAATTTATGTCTCTTTACATCCACATCCCCTAGAGGACATAATTCCTAGCTCTTTATTTCAATAGGAACATAATTCCAGAAATAATTTATATAGATGCTTAAAACTATAAAGAATCTTTGTAAGTAGTTTTTTTTTATTTCTTAATATAGAAATGAAATTTTTAATAATAAGAGACATTTGAATTATATCCTCACAAATAATTTAAGGACCCATCTTTATCCTGTACTGACTCTTCCAAATTCAAAGTCTTTTCAATCTTTATACTTTTCATCCCATAAACAGTATTGTAGTGTTTTATCCTTATGATATGGCTAATAAAGTCAATTCCATATTCTATATACTGACATGCCTTTGGAGGCAGAGGTTATTTCAGTAAAGATTGTTTCTCTACTTCTATACTCAGTTTCTTTTCTCCTTGAGACTTCCTCTTATAAAATCATTTTTTCCTTTTCTTTTTTGAAGAGTTTGGATTTAACTGGAAGGTAAGAACTTGTTATTTAAAGTTATTAAAACAGACTGCAGAAGCTCTTCCTATCTATTTGAAGAAGAGTTCTTAAACTTGATCCAACTGTTCAGTTGGTCCAAAGTATTTGAATTTAGTACCATAGGGAAGACTTATCTCTATAGTAATATTCATTGTATTTAAGACTTTGGGAATAAAAAACTTTACTTCATATTGTTTTGGAAGAAAACTTCTTTTAAAGAAATTTTTTAACAAAATTGTGATCAATAGGAAAGAGTTTATATAATTAAAGTTTCTAATAATACTATTTCAATACTTAAATTTACTATAAATTTATATAAGTGAGTTACAACCCATATATTAAATTTATTATAAATAAGTATTATTTTAATATCACTTCAGTATTAGTTCTATACTTTTTGAAGTTCTAATTGAGGTTTTTCTATCACATTAGCTATGTAAACGAAAAAACATAATATGATAAGTAATTTTAATAAATAATCAAAAGTAGTGATTTTAATTGGTAAAAAAATTTCTAATCGATTAGTTGTTTTAAATATAATCAACTAGTTACAACTAAAAATTCTAAATTCTAATTAATTAATTTTGAACTTTTCAACTAATAATTTGTAATACTAGTCAGCAGTATTCCATTGCTCTTATATAAAAATTGAATTGATAAATTAAATGGTTTAAAACTAGTGGTAGAATTTCCATCCTCTAGATAAATATCCTTCAAAAAATATAAATTCATTTCATATGTATCACATTAATAGGATAATAAAAGTAGAATAGATTAATATTTAGCTGTAGTTTAAAATTACAGATAATGTTTGATATATTATTTAGATATCTATATATATCAATAAATGATGGTATCTAATATTTATTTTATTATAAAAAATTTTTTTTCTATATATAAAAATATATACAATTAAAAGTTTATATTTTTATATTTTTTATATATATAATTAATATTGACTATTAACTATTTCTAGTAATAATTTATCTATTTACTTTTGTTGATCCAATTATATTAACTTATACTATATGAATGGATTTACACTTTGAATAGGACAAATTTAAATAATAGAAAATCCTATCACTAGTTTAAATCTACTTTTTTGTTAGGTTCAGATTTAATAATTTTGTAGCTACTTAAAATCTATAGAATTTTATTATAGAGACTAATTCCAGTTACTCTAGTTACTTGTTATTACTAGTTCTCTGGATATATTACTAATATAACATAGTATAATTATTTTTATTACCTATGGCCATAGTATTTTTATTTGAATTTTTGATTATTCTTGTTTTGGTTTTTAATAGGTTTACTTGACTTAATGATTTTTGCATATCTTTTTACTACTTGTAGTCAATAGTTTTGTCTTATATGACTTATATATTTAAATTCAAAAAGCACTAGTATAGGAATAGACCTCAAATATTATATTGGGATAGACTTAAAAGCATTAAATTGAAATAGATTTCAAAGTATTAGATTGGAATAGATTGGTTTAAAATTTGCCTCTTTTGTTTGAACTGTGTTATAGAATCTATTGTAATAAAAGATATGAATTTTTATGGGCTTTTATTAGAGTTAAACCAGAACTCTTTCCTTATATAATCTTTTCTGCTTTGACCTGTTTTAATCCATAATCATTAGAAAGATCAGAAGTTTTATCTTTATATAGCTTAATTGAATTGAATTAAGATTAGGATGTTTGAATATGATATTTGTAAAAAATCAATAAACTCATAATGAAGGATAAATTTATATGGTTTGTTTTTTATGGATATTAAATTAGAGATATACATTTGGAGACCATAGAATACTATTTATTGTATTATTGATTCACTAGTTTTTTTTAATATTATTATAATAGACTTTAAAAATATATTTAATATATAATAAATAATAAAATATTTTAATATAAAATAATAATTTTATTTATTATAAAATCAAAATACTTTATAATTAAATTATATTTATAAATAAAAAAATATTATATTATTAATTTATTTAATAAATTTTTAAATTTAAATAGATTGACAAACAATATTATAAAGATTATTATAATACAAATTAATTTATTGTTAACAATTATAATTTTTATAATAATAATTTAATTATATAATATTAAAAAAAAGAAAAACTTATTAATAAAAGTATTTTTTTATTAATTAATGATTGTTTAATACTTATTTAAATTGTATTTTTTGTTTTTATTATTTTATAAATTCTTTTTATATTTATTATTATTATAAAAATATAATAATAAAAACAATAAATAATATTATGTAAATTATGTGTTTTTTCAGCCAATAAAATTATTTTTTTAATTAGTAAATATTTATTATTATTTAAAAAGTATTATAATTGATAAAACTTATTTTTTTTAACAATTTTCAACTTTGAAAAAATAATTTGAATTATTATAAATAAATAATATAGCAAGAGTATTAAAAAATTTTATTGGTGAAAAAAAAATTATTTAAAATTAATGTATACTCCTTTTGCTTTTTTTTTTAAATATTAAAATATAACCATTACCCATTATCTTTATAAATTATATTGTTATAAGGCAAGGGTTTTTTATTTATTTTTTTCACTTGAACAAATAACAGATCAGACTACTTGCCACATCTGGGTTCTTTGACGCTTCATCATTGGTCTCATTAAAGTTATCGTAAATGATTATTCAATGTCACTTGGGTTTCATAAATGAATACTATTTATTTAAAACATATATACAGTATATACATATATACATGTGTTTATGGGAAAAAGAAATTTTTTCTCTATTCTAAATAAAGAGACATGTTATTACAATCATTTATTGCTTTCAAGAAACTTACCCATTTGATTAAAAACCCAATTTGGAGGAACCTTCCAATATATGAAATCATAATATTCCCCTTCCAAAGTACCAATACAATAAATACTATTATTCAAATCATGATAAATCTTTTCGCCCAAACTTTCACCCAAAACATCGATGTAATGTTCTGTTTCGCAGACTTTTTGTTGATTGTTGTAAAGGGTAAAATGGAAAAAGAAATTTCTCGAAAAATCGATCAGGAACGATTGGACAGGGTTTGTGAAACACACTAGATTCATGAAGTCATCATAATAAGGTATGCCAGTGATGAAACTCACGCAGATGCCGTCTTCGGATGTTATCTGTCATCATTACGCGTAAGCATGATAAAAAAACTGATTAAGCAAAATAGGCGGTCACCATCGAATATTCTTACCTGAATTTCCCACTCTTCCGACCAGTTTCGAGAGATCAAGCCGTTCACCACAACGGGTATGATTTCATTCCATTGTTTACAGGTTCGACGCAATCGAAAAATTTCACGAAAGCTGAACGGATTTTAAAAAGAATCGATTAGTCGACCGTTTCAGATTTTCCCAAGTAATTACTGTGCGTTTACCTTGCTTCTTGTAGATATATGGTGAGAATGAGTACCCATATCTCATTGGAAAGACATGAATTTGAACCTTTTTTTAACAAATATTTTAACTTTTCAAGCATACTGTATGTTGCAGAGTAGTGAAATAAGTGAAATTAAGGATTTCGCGAACTTCACTTTGGCGTTTATAAATTAGCAATAGGTCGCACAAACAAATATTTAAATATGAACAATGTTTTCAATGAAGCAAGTATAAGGTGCAGCATGCATGAACATCATACTGTTTTCTTGCTTGATGAGAAAAAAAACGTCAGTGAAATATTTCAAGATGGAGTTTATATATTATCGGAACAAAGATTCATCAGTGAATAGAGCATTAAAATCTGTAGGAAAACTTTTTTTAAGTTTATTTGGCACATGACATGGCATATTATGCAATGTCAGCAGTTTGTGCGCATGTAAAAAGAGTTGACCTTGGGGAAATGGAGCTGTCCAACTTTCATTCCAATAGGAATTGCATTGTATTATTGAGTAATTGAAAGACGTACAGTACATTGCATACATGCCTATTTATCTAATCTTTTTGTTTTGAAGCAAGAAAGAACCGATAAATAAATAAATATTTTAAAAAAAGTCCTGGAAATCAATTCACTTTTCCATAAAGCAGTTTCATGATACAATGATTATGGATAATGAGTTGTGATGAAGTAATAATTTTCAAATTATTCAATAAAACTATAGTATTAGCATTATGTGTTATGTTTTCATAATTTTAAATTTTCATCGTTCTACATCTTAAGAGAATATATTGTTTTTCAATACTATCTAACAAGTGAATATAATTGTTATTTATATTGTAATGTTTTAAGTTCGAAATTTTCTATACTGTATTTTCATGAAAAATCATTAAACATAATTTTCTTTATATTTTTTTTATTTGCAAATCAATTTGTTTAATAATTAACATTATTTTTATATATTTCACATTATCTTGATTAATTTGACATTAAGTTATATACTTTTATCAATATTAGATCAAAAATCAAGTGTATATTTTAATTTTTTTTTTTGTAATAAAATAAAATGATAATTTAAACAATCATTACAATATATATAATTATTATAATTGCAGCTTATTTGTTTGTTTTTTAAAAAATTTATATTATAAAATTATATTATTTTCTATTTATCATCAATATAATTAAATTATTAACATATAGTATTGTTATAGATAAAATCAATTTGTTAAGAATGCTGCGCAATAATTGGAAATATATTAGTTGAATAAATTTTTTTTAAACCAGTTTTGCATATTTCAAGATAAATAAGTCATTATCTTTTTATTTATATTTTATTCGATGTTTTTTATGTTAAAAAATTATTATATAAAAAATAAAAAGTAAAAAATACATATATTATATTATATAAAAATAAATAAATAAATAATAATAATAATAATAATAATATATTTAAATTATTAATTTCAACAAAATTAGTTGCTATTATTATTTATAATTTTTTTTTTTAATAATATATATGCAGCAAGTTAAAATTATAAAAATAACCAAATTATTAATACTGTATATCAAAATATTTGTTATATTTGATTTGTAATTAAAATGTTATAAAAAAAATGTTATAAAATGTTATAATAGATATTTGTATTAGAAATAATTTGGTTAATTTGAATTTAATTGAAATCGAATCATTTGTATAAAAGTATTATTATAAAAAAAAACAAAAAAAAAAAAACGAATCACCATATATCATTATAAATTAATTGATAAAATAATTTTTTTTAATACTGTAAATTAGTTTAATAGGTTTAACTCTGACATGGTAATATAATTAGGACACTATTTACTTAAAATAAAAAATCGAATATTTATTTTAGACAAAAACCATCGTTGGATTTTACTTGGAAATAAAAAATTAGAAATTTGTTATTTTTATTTTAAGTAAATAATATGAAAATATATTCAAATAATAATGATAAATACAGTACTATACTGTATTGATCAATCTGATCGAAAAAGATCGATAATGCTTTTTGATAATTTACTTGACGTAATTAAAATTTTTAAGCCTCATTATGTATGATCAAAATTAATAATTAATTTCTGTAATTATATGGTGATGATGTTGGTGCGGATTTTTGATTGGTGGCTCGGATCTTGTTTCATTACTTGATGAGGCGCACGTTTTTTCGTCATTTCATCTAACGATGTATGATATGTTGCTTCCTGATGCGTAGGAATAATGGTTTCCAATTATGGTAAATTCCATTTTTCAATTTTTGGCAATAGAACAATGTATCATGGTCACTTTCGTTTAGCACTCGGGATTTTTCTTTTATGCATGTCAAATTGATGTTTGTTAAGCTATTTTTTCTAGAATGATTTTTAGTTTAGAGAGGTTTACCATATCGTGAATATGTCACATTGTTGCAATGCAGCTAATTATTCTTCAACATATGAAAATTTGTTTACAAAAAAAAAAATTTTTTTTAACTTTTGAGGGTGATGAATTTGACCTCGAGAGACGAATCATCATGATGTCGACCAGGAGAAACTTTTTTCGAGTATAATAATGGTTCATGTGTATGATTTAATAATATCTTTGTCTTTTAATTAATCGGGTTAAATTCAGCCAATAATGATCAGGAAATGATCATGATTTTAGTGGATGAAGTATATTAATGTCGATACGATAAAGCTTTTCCGACTTTTTAAAAATTGTCCATAACATTCAAACAAACTCATACGTCAAAAACTTCACAACAATCAAAAAGTACGGTCAAGACTATATACGTATATTTCTTTGTAAATCGCAATTTAAATATCGGGGGCAAGTAAACCGTTTTTTTTCTAGTGCTTTTGCTCATCTAAGGGGGCGGTCGGCTGATCTCACGTACTTACGTATTTGTTTTTAACAATATTCCATAATCAAGTACACAAACGCTGTTTTTGGCGATCATATGGACTTTAACCCGAAGATATAAAACCCTTATCTTGTGTCATTTGCCTACAAAAATTTCATCCCTCAAATTTAGTAGGACTTCTACCAAATGTCCAAACATCTTCCAAATGAACTGGTCGTTGACATACTTCAAAATGTTTTACGAAGTTCAAGGTAAGATTTTTTGACACGACAATTTCCCAGTTTTTTTAGTTTTTTTTCTTTTTTTTGACGCACTTATACCCCTTAACCTTAAAAACATTATTGCGTTAGTTTTAAATACTTTGTCAAGTTACGAATAATATGCAAGAAATGGAACAAATTAATTCCCATAATCATTAATGAAAAAATTTCTCGAAAATATAAAAATGGTTGGAAAATCAAGGTAATTAGAATTCTTGGAATTTTGACAGAACCTATTTTCCTGTATTCAAACATCTTACATTTCCCAAATATTTACAAAAGTTTTCTCCAGGATTCTATATAAGTCGCAACATGAATGTGTTTACTATCGATCCCCCGAAATTTGATAAGGGACAAGGCGTCTTTCTATTCGATTTCAAAAATCGAACGATAGGTTCTTTCTTTGCCGGAAATTCATGGATTGACTTCTCTATAGAGTACCGGAGCAACAAATTGTATAATAATTACATCTTGATTGATACAAAAAGGGATTGGAAACTGGTCATGCCAAAATCTACCTTACGCGGAAAAAACGAAAAATCATTTGAGGCAATGAAAAAAGGAAATGGATTTATCGAGTTAAAATATGTTAAAGTTAAAGTTGATATCGTGTTTGAACTGCTGGATGGGATCAATGAAAGATATTTAAGGCGCCTTAAATATTCCGAAGCTAAAAAAAGAAAACAGAATTGCAAAATCGAGGTATTCTAAAGGCCAATATTGCATATAAATTTTTTACACGGGCCATTCTTTTAGGGAGAAATATTAGTTACCTATTTTAGCTTAATATTTAATGAACAGAGTGACTACATGATAATAATTGGATACATACTGTAAATTAACTCGAAACACTTGCTCGACTTTTCGGATTTTTAACACGTAATGATTTTTTTTCCAAGATAATTTTTATAATAAACCTTGCATTATTACTTTTGCCTTCGTGGGTGATTCGATATTTCTACGTACGCGCATACACAAGTAAAGTAGATGTCGGGTCATTGTTACTAATTAAGTCAGGTAGGAATTTTTTGAAAATAATTATACTGTAATCGAGTCAACTATTTATTACGCATAAATATTCATTTCTTAAACATAATATCTTAATTACAAAAGCCTCTTTTAGGAACTTTTTTCTGTTTGTCTCAGGGATAGATACCTAATTTTTTAACAAAAGGAACATGACATTTTTAAATATTCGAATAATTTAAAATAAAGTTGAAATCAATTTTTTAAAAAACAGTTAAGTTTATTACGTATTATTATTATATGATTTTTTTGAAAATGAATTTTATATGAATTTATTAATTTCGATTACGAATAAACCAAAAATACAGATAGTTTAAAAATAAAAATAAAAAATAAAAATAAAATAAAATCACAAAAAAATAACAGAAAAATAAAAACACAAAAAATTATTTCTATTAATAAAACATTTAATTTTCAATTCCATTATTAATGCGACACAAGTCTTTGGTTATACGTATTACAATTGAATTATGATATTATGTTTATTATATACGTCACAACTTTTTGGTTATTTATTTTTTGCATAATATAAATAAAAAAGTTATTGTAATAACTTATTCATATGGTCATTTGTTTTATTTTAATTTTAATAATTAAATCTCTTTTATTATTATCGGTTACAGTATTATTAAACACGCATACACAGTATACTGTATGTGATTGTTTTTGTTAATAAAATGATCTGACGCAGCATATTAGCTGATACGTAATTTGATTGTCTTTGTTATTTTGACAATTTTTTTTTATAAATAAAAATATAAAGTTTATACGTATATCGTATTTTGAATTGACTTTTTCGATTCTACATATTTAGCATGAAATTTGTAAAATCAATACGATTTTTAATTAATAATCTCACCAGACTGATAATTGCACCTCGAACTGTTTCAAATTATGCAATTTAACCGTAAACAAATGCTAGAAAAATTTACTTCTTAATTCCCAAATCGAGAGTTTGTTACTGTGTACAGCCACCATGGTTCTGTAAGACTGAAGCGCAGTATGGAAAATGGAATTGGACATTGTGATACTTTTGCTACGTATCTACAACGAGCGCCATAGAACTATTTTTGGTTGTCTGTAATTCACTGTATAGAAGCCGATTGCCTATTACACTCGGAGGTATTTCGTATAAAAGGAGACCTTACCCCCTATTCAATTTGTCACCCCTCCGGCTTATAATAATGAATCTGTTGATATTTTTAACAACGTTGTTAACGGCTCTAGTCCTAGGCGTGAAAACTGCGTCTATAACGAAACAACAATATTCGATTCCTTTATATAAACACCACTTCAAAGCAGGGCTCAGACGTGCCACTGAACAACTATCCAATTATCATACGTCTGGATTAAATGATATTGCATATTATGGTCCAATAACCATTGGTAAACAACAATTTCAAGTAATGTTCGATAGTGGATCACCATTACTTTGGGTTCCTGCTCAAAATTGTTCATCCGGCGGCTGCACCGGCCATACAAAATTCAATCAAAATGTCACTGCAATAGCTTCATTTAACATTCAATATGTTTTGGGTTTTTCACAGGGTTACCTGGCCGAAATTGATATGTCTCTGGCAGGGTTAACTGTTTCAAAACAAAGATTTGGTCTTAGCTACAATATATCGAGTGAATTTGCTGCATATCCGTTTGATGGAATACTTGGCCTATCTCCTCGCGAATACCCTAACATAGGGAATCTCAATCCAATTAAAACCTTGATTAATCAGAATACTATAGATCCCTATGTTTCTTTTCATCTTTCAAGATATGATGACACGAATAAAGGGGATCAAGGAACTCTAACATTAGGGGGAATAGATAACTCGAAATTTACTGGGAGCATTAATTACAACAATTTAACGGATAGCACGGAATGGTGGCAAGTTAGCATAGATAATGTTATGGTTGCCGGAAAATCTACTGTTCAACAAAGAAGCGCTATTATCGACACTGGAACGACGGTAATTACTGCCCCACGAAAAGACGCTGACGAGATACATTCTATAATTTCGGGGATATATAATCCAGCTTACGAGATGTATACTATTCCATGCACCACGGTGTTTAATATGAGTCTAGTATTTGGAGGAATTTTATATCAGATAGACGACCGTGACATTATTATTAGACAAAATGGAATATGCCTTTCAGGAATGATACCGGATTCTACTATTGGTTCCGCTTGGGTGGTGGGGGATGTGTTTTTGAAGAACGTCTACACGGTATTTAATTATGCAAACCTCAGTGTAGGGTTTGCTCCTAGTGTAAAATTACAGTCATGATAATGCATTTCTACATTAGTTAGTTAGTTAATCGATAATTTTCATTTAATGCATTGGTTTGCCAAAATATAGACCAAATCTAAAAAATAAAAATAGGTCCGGAAACGAGTAACAAATAACTAATAAAAATTATTTTCATAATTTCTCAATGATAATACAGTATACCCTATGAGCTAAATAGCTACGTGTGTTTTTGCGATATGATTGTATATTTATTATTTAATTTTATATTAATTTTGTAAGAAAAAAATTTTATTTTTTTTGAATTTTTTTTTTGTCGTACAGTACATATTTTATTTCAAATTAAAATTTCAATTCATAAATTGATTTTTATATTTTAATAAATATGTATTATTGTATCAATTATAATAAACATAACAATAATATTGTATATATATGTATATATATTGATAAGCAATAATTCTTTATTTAAGTATATACAAAAATACACATTTGTGAAAGAATTATACATCATTTAAAAAACTAAATGAAATGCTAGCTTACCAAGGTAACTATTTTAAACTATATTATAAAAGAAATTTTAAACCAATATATTGTTTAGATAGGATATTTCAAATTATATTATTTACTAAAAACATAAATAAATCTTATAAATTTAAAAAAAAAATATGTTGCACATGTTAATATTTATATAATTCACTTTTTATATCACATTTTTAACCTATATAGTCATAAAAACAAAAAATAATTTCTATTAATAAATACTGTATATACTTTTTAACAAATGTTTGGAATTTATTAATTAATTTTAAGTTATCAAATTTAGAAATATATTAAATCAAATAAGATACAATATCTAAAAAGCAAACCTTCTAATCTTTTAATAATATTTCAATAAATTTTAATTAACTTAAACCATTAAATCTAGAGGCAAGATTATTAAACAGAATATAATTACTATATACTGTATACTAATTTTTATATGAAATTATATTAGTAATCTCTTTAATACTTTCTTTAAAATTTTTTATATAACATTAATATATAACAATATTATTATTGTTTTAATTATTAATATTTGAAATAAATAATAATACTATTTTAAAAAAACATAATTAATAAAGTTGTTATTATATGTCAATTATTTGAAAAAAATAAACTAGTTTTAGTTTTTTTTTGTTAAAAAATTTTGTATATATTATAAATATAAATTTAGTAATAGGTTTGAAATATAATATAAAGATATATATAATATTATATAATATATTAATTATATACTGTATAATTGTTAAATATAGAGTTTTTAAAAATTTGTTATATTATATAATAGGATGAAAATTAAAAAAAATATATTATAAGTAATATAAATAATCAATATATTTGAAATAAAAAAAATAAATTAATAAAATTATATTGTTATAAACAATTATCTATATTTGCATTATAATAATAAATAAACTTATTTTATTTGTTATTAATTGCTTTAAAAAAAATCCAGAAAGATCTTCAAGACTTTTAATAAAAAATTAAAAATAAAAACAAATAAGAATAAAAAAAGATTAATTTTATTATTATTAATTAAAATAGTATTGTTTAATATATTGTTACTTATCAAATATTTAAATATAAAATATTTATTATATTGATACTTATTAATAATTCAACATATGTCAAATAATAAAAATATTATCTTATTTTTTATTTACTGTAATTTGTTAATACTGTATTTAATACCTATAATTAATTATAATAATAATAAAAAAATTAAAAAAATAATATTAAAAATATTCAATATTTGAAAAAAAATAAAATTAGATACAAATTTATATTATATTTAATTCTAGTCAAATTTTTAGTTTTTTAAATATTATACTTGCAGTTTAGTAAAATTACAATTAAATATTTACAAGAATTATATCAATTTAAAATTTTATATTTAAATAAAATAAATTATTCAAAAATATATAAACAAAAATTATATATTTATATTTAATTGAATAAAATTCAATATTTTATAATTCAATATTCATTTTATTTTCTAAATCAAAATAAAATTTCATATCTATCAAATTAACTAATAAAACTATTAAATAAAAACTAATTTGTAATACATATATAATATTATTTGAAAAATCAATTGAATTTATAAATAATTAAACTTGTTTTATATATAAATTAATATTTCCATTATAATTTACAAATTAGATTAAGATAAATAAATCTTTATATTTTATAAAGACATAAGAAAATCAAAAATTTTACTTCTTATTTAATATTTTTTATATTAATTTGCTTTATTCTAAATAATTTTCAAATCAATAATATAATTTTCAAATAGTTTTCAAAAGTTTATTTTTTTATATAAAGCCTTATAATATTTGATTAACAAATTCAATATTTCAACAAATAATATTAAATTAAAATTCTTTGAATTTATTGATTTTAAAAAAAATTATATTTATTAATAACTATATTATAAAATTAAAAATTGATATAATTTATAATTAAAAACTAATTAAATACTCTTTTTTGAAAATCTTGTATCCAATAAAAATTATCAAATAAGAAAACAAAAATTTCTTTATTAAAAAAAAAAATCAAAGATCCTAAGGAACTTTCTCTCCTTAAGGGTTAACCAATAAATCATGAATATATACTTCTTGATATCCTCATAATCAATATTCAAAGCCTTCAAATTGTTATCATTTATAAAAACACAAAAATCAATAAAATTATTGCCACTCCACCTGCTCAATCAGTTTGCCTTCCAAAGTTAGGAAACTGTCCAAAAGTTTAACTAACACCTGTCCACTCCATACAAAGTAAAGTAGAAAGTATCAAAATTATCAATATCTTGTTTGAAGATTATTAAAGAACAAGAATTTTAACAGTTCAGACTTTTGTTAATATTTCATTACCTGAATTAATGTTCCTAAAAAACCTTAATTCCTTCCTTGACTTTCAGCACATTTTCCAAATCACAGATGACAACAAAACTAAAATTATAAAAGAAATCATTAAACTTAACCTTAACTATGGCTTATATGTCTTCTGGGACAAACTCAACATCTCTACTTGCAAAGAAAATCAAACTTTCACTTTGGAAAGAAAAACCAGAATACCCTTACCCCTTCCAAACACACCAGCATCCATAGAGGAAATAATCAACAAAAACAATATAAATAACAACAATACTACAAATTCTTTTCCCATAACGATCCCTGTATCTACCCCTAAGCCTGTACCACCTCTTGACAATAGCCAAACACAAAACCCACATGAATCTGAAATAACAAATACATGCATCCCTGCTTCTATATATGAAAGTAACACCAAATCGATCAATACATATAATACTTCTGAAATAAAAATTGATGAACCTTCTATACAAATTGAGCCACAATCATTAAATACAATTAATCTTATATCTTGAACTAATGAAATTAAGATTATACTATTAGTTATAGCCAATGACCAATCTGCTAAAAACATTTGCAATATCAATTTAGAGAATGAACAAATCAAAATCTTTACCTATTGTAATGAAATAATCAATGCTTCAGAATTCCAAAAGCTATTTTTAATCTTTTCATTAAATTTTGAGATAATTCTAAAGGATCTCCCAGGTTATTATTAAAGGCTATCTTCTTCAAAATTGAATATAAAGATAGAAACTTCTTCAGAACCTTTATCAAAAATGAGTTAATTAAAAGCTAACACTAATTGGAATATAAAAAGATTGAAAATAAGTTTAGAAACAATTATCTAAAAGTAAACAACATTGGTTATATCACAAGAATAACAAGAAAAAAGATCAGAGTTATTATCAATAAAGCACTCTTTACAACTTATTTAAGGTCATTCGATCTTACAAAATTAAAGTATTGACAAGTTGCTCAACTTTTGGAATACAGCTTTAACTTTTTCTTCGATCCCACATTCCCAAAAATAGATTACCAAGAACTCTACAACAAATGTGATAAGTTAATCAAAATAAAATTATCAAACCTTCCCTACATTCCTAAAGAAATCTCAACAACAATCAAAATTAAATTATCAAGAGCCATACCTATCACTTCTCCAAAATTCATCAAAGAAGTGGTAATATGCCTCAGAGCTTATTATAACTTTGATTTACTTTTTCCTTTTTTCTTTATACAAAGACCAAACCTATTAAAAAATCCTGCTGATCTTAAAAATAAAGTAAAAGCCATCTTTTTTCTTACAAATAGAACTAATTTGAGATAAACTAAGGGACTATTACTATATTCCTAGCAAATTATCAGAATTATACTTTAACTTATCACAATTCAAGCAAATCCTTCCATATCATATACAGGTCTATCTGAGTATATTATCCATTACTTTCCAGTAGATAATAATCCAAAAAAAATCCTGGGAGCCATTCAAATCCTTAGTGATAAGAACTATGCACTCAAAAAGTTATCTAATAACTACAGTATATTAAAGTTAAGAGATCCTTGCCATCAGCATACTGGTACAACAAAAATAATGGAAATAACCTGCCTATCATTAACCAAGATAAGGTCAAAGAATTTATCAAGCAACTTAGGAAAAAATTCTTCTTCAAACTTTTCTTAGGTTCTGATTGGATCAAGGAAGATTTAACACAATCAAAAAACTCAACATTTTAGATAAACTCTCTTTGATAGAAGAAGAATTAGAAATCACAAGCAACAAACTCAACAAAGACCATTCAGATTTCAATATAACAATCAAACTAATCAAGGATAATTATACAGGGAAAATTTCAAGAGATTGAATCTCTCCACAACTGCCAGACCTCTTTAATCTCACCAGCATACAAGAAATACTTAAATCTAAAAACATTGAATTGTTTTTTCTTATAGTTGAGGATGAAATTCTTACAAACAAAATTAAACTTTTTAGAAAATTGTTTTACTTTGAAAAACTTTCAGAAGAATTTATTGTCAAATCAAAGTTATCCAACTCAAATCTAACTCTCTTACTTAAACTCACTTAACTATGAGCTTAACATTGATCAACTCAAGTCAATT